AACTAAATCACTTTTCAAGGAAAAGCTCAAAGCTCAACCCCTACTAAACAATCTCATCTAGAACACAACTAACTCAAACTTGCCATTCAATTCATTTGAATGTTAATACAATTGCTAACTAGCAAATGCACAGATACCAATAATACAAAGCTACAGCAAAATCATTAACACTACCTACATTGAAACTAATGAAACTCAATATCAATTCAACGAAGAGATATTTCACTTCACTTAAATCTCAACATCAATAATATCAATAACAAAGCATCATTTCAATATCATCAACACCAAAACAAAGTTAATAGAAAGCAAGAGTGAATCACCACTCAAAGCTCTTTAACAACCAAGCTAGCCAAAGTCAAAGATACCTTAGTTAATATTTGAAACTAAACCTTCAACAAACTGAGTTACAGATAATATGTTGTCAAGGAGTGATTCACCACATTCAAGACTCAATATAATCTAACACTACAGACTAAATGCAATCAAATGATATTAACAAAAGTGGAATCAATATGCTAACATGGAAAAACCATACAAGCCTATGACACGATCTTTTACAACACCATTCAGTAAAGCAAGCCCATCATTGCTAAATCATCATTGAGCGAAACAAGTGTCACAGCCCTCGATAAAGTCTACAAACAATCACTAATTACAAAGCAACTAATAATCACTCTTTCAACTTGCCTTCCACAAAACTCAAACACTAAACTCGTGTTATCAAGTCATATACTTGTCTAATATAAATATAATACCCCAAGTACGAGATATAGGAATATGGACAAACATAGACTAAATGACTACTTGAATCCAACTCAACTACAATAAGCTCACTAATGTATTTAGCCAATAGCTCTAAACATGTCTTGAAGAGGTTAATTATATATAATCAACATTTAGTCAAAACTAAAGTGAAACCATGAGATGGACTCATATTGGTACACAACCTTCTCATAGACAAGGTTATAATATGGGTACTAACATCTTAACTTCAAACAATTAAATTGGACATCACCATCCTCAGCCAAAATGCAAAGCTACCAAGACTAAATCAAAATTAGTGAGAGCTCACTACTCTCATAAAGTCTTAACGAAATGCAAGATGCAATTTGTTACCAAACACAATGTTATAAAAGAAAAGCACAAGAGTCACCTTTCTAGAAAAGCGCAACAGTCACTTTTTTACACCAACTCTAGACTTTATCCAACTCAATTACTTTAGCCTTAAGAAGTTAGCATCCCTTTCGGGCTGCATCATATAAACTACATACTAAGTTCTAAATTAACTGAAATCAACTCCAACCCTTTTACTAGTTTGTACTGGCTTACAAAAACGGAAAGGTTTTTGGACAAAATGATCAACAAATTAGCCATAAAATTAACCTAAGAAATTTATAGAAAATTTCCATCTTAAAGAAAGAATGATTTTCAATCTAGAAATGCAAATTTTTAAGACTCAACCAACTTCCTTTTACTAACAACTTCATAAAGGTTCACCTCGACACAAATTCTCAAGACCCATAATATTCTTAAGCCTCGAACATCATGCCCATATTTCAAATATCCAACACTAACATTTGCAAAATGTAAAATGAACATCCAAGGCTTGATCACGAAGACTATATCTTTGGATATCCACATTGCACTAACACTCTTCTTTAACCACCTTCAAGATTCAATGTGAAGCTAAAACATTAATAAAAAAAATGACATGGAAAATCAAGATCTAAGAAAATTCCTCATCACTCGAAATAATAATGCCACTTCCACTAACACAAATGTTAGTGATGTCAATGCCTTAATTACACATCTTTTCCATCCAACAATCTACTCCAAGTGTTAACAAATCAATTGACGAACTATAGCAAATAAATGCTACAACTCTTTTCCAACACCTCAATGGGCAAACTCTTAAGGAAACACGGTACCAACATATGCTTAACATATCATAGATCACTATTGAGAACCAAGTTAAAGCTACTTTAATGCTACTACTTATAAGTAAACTAACTTCATTATTAACAACTTTACACTTGATCATTTTTTAACTAAACAACTTCGTAAACATATTGCTCATTATTACATGGATATGATATAAAATCACAATTATTTGATCATTAATTGAGCAACACCATAAGCAATGCCCATATCATTACTACCAAAGTTTACGTGACTATCAAGTGTCAACTTGATTCGACAAAATGCAACATAAATGCCACACCCCACCAATAGAGATTTTACTTAACACCACTAATTTTTATTCATAACACAGACAAATGCATGCCACTCTCTATCCGACCAAACTCAAAACTAATCTAACACCAAGATACTCAAGGAATAATAACAAGGTTCCTCAGAAAAGAATTAAGTATTGTAACCCAAGTCTTCAATAGTAAGTCTAGACAAAATGGTTTAGCACTTTACTGCTATCCATCCCACGACTTACCACTTGTAAAACCACCATAACTAACATGTATCAAGATAGAGACTCTTAATTGTATAATGTGAATACGAGCAATGAATTAACACCTTGTTACAAATCATCTCTCCGAGATGAGAAAATTATTTACGTATTTGATCATTCATCCCTAACAACTCTCTTTTCGGTCTCACCTTTTGACCAAACCTCAAACTTGCTTTCACACTACCTTCAGTCCAATAAAAAAAAAGTATATAAGTATATAAGAGAGTATAACAATGACTACTTGAACTAATAAACTAATCCCTATAGTCTTAAATGATCCATTTATAGTCATGCCTAAAAAAGATCCACTAAAACAGCTACAAATTAGCTTATTTGTGTAAGTGACTAATTTTTCCATTCTATTTCAATCACTTAACCACACCTCTAACCACTTGGAAGAGTCTCAATTCACAACCTCCATAAGTCCAATTCAGCACTTGGGGTTTGGTAGTCTCAAGAATGGCATCTTTGCCACTCAACCTTTACACTTGGTCCGAATGCTCCACATGTTCAATCCCATGACTGACACTAAAAGATACCATGGACATATCAGCCTATTACTCTAAAGCCATGCCTATTCACTTTTGTCATATCGATAATCTAACACCACCTACATCACAATCTTATTTCTCAAAAATTGAGCCCTCTATTTATAAGTGGTCATCCCAAATCCACTCTTTAGCATCCTTAAAATGCCTATGGGGAATAGCCTTCCCCAATATCCCTTTTTCAGTCCCTACCAAATCCTTTCTGTCCATGGCCGCATTTTCCAACACTTCCATTAGATCAAGGCCCACCAGCCTGACCATTAAGTCTCACTGTCCTTTAGGACTTTCACACCATATGACCATAACCTTGGTCACTACACTAGAGGATTGCCTTTTTTCCTTTCCATAGTCTGGGACTTTAGGATAACATTTCAGAATACTATAGCCATATACAAGTCTCATAGGTACTCTCCCCACCTTCTGTCTTTGGATGCTCTAGCCCTAGGCTTAGAGAGAGGTTCTGTTAAGCCACACTAAATAACCAAGTAGGTAGTGCCACCCACACTTGGATTGGGAGTATCGACTATTTGATCTCCCAGGGGAATTAAAACCATTACCATATGGCACCCTTTCAACTCCTCTTTGGGGCTTAGAGATTTTATGTCTCACAATTTGCCACTCATAGTGAAAATATTCGTGTCTACTTCTAGCAACATGAGTCGAGCATGCGCAACCACGTCTTCAACTTTCTCGCGGTGTGTTAGGACGTCTGGAACAAGGCAAGGCACAAGCAAGTCCTTGATAAACGGTTCGAACTTGATGCTGCAGAGCAGCAGCTCCAGTTCTTGGTGGCTGAGTTTGCCATAGCTTGGTGATGACTGCAGTTCAACAATTTTGACTATATCATCCGAGAGGGCCTCGTAAACGGGTTGAGCTCGTTCACCAAACTTTTCACTTGAAAGATCCATCTACATGAACAAACAAAAGGAGGAAGGAAACACTCACCGTTTTGCGCTGAGCAAAGTGATCAGACAGCAATGCATCGCTGTTCAGCTCCACGATAAAACCACACAAACCTGTTACCTGAGTCCAGAAAACGTCGAGCAAGTTGAGGGCTGCATGGGTCCTGGAGAATCTGGCGAGCAGTCTGGAAAACCTCGTCAGAGATGAAATCCTGGAAGAGATCCCAGTGCTGGTGGATGTAGAGCAAACCCAGCAAATGGGCCATGTCTGGATCCTGAGCCACTGCATTGTACATCGTGTTGACATATTGCCCCACCAGCCTCTTCTCCTTGGCAAACCTCATGAGCTTGTCATACTCACACTCTACCTTGCTCAATTCCTTGATACCCTTCCGCAATATCCGATAACGCCGCTCCGACTTGACCCCGAGGTTTTCCATTGTCACAAGAAAGGTGGCGACTAAGCCTTGGGGCTTAGGGTTTATGTAAAGAAAAAATGGTAAAGCTGAAAATCTGAAGGTGCATCAAACTTTCGGAGCATTCACAAGGCAACGATCGATGGCACTGTTCTTGGAGATGTGGTGATTGTTGTCTCGGACAAGCCAGGTTCATGGTTTTTTCATTGAATTTATGAAAATATAAGCACTAATGTTAATCTAATTTACGAATATGCTGCTGAATATGCCTTATAAGAGTCAGTTCTAGGGCAGGGAGTCGGCTAGGGCAGTGATGAATTCGTGCTTTTCTTATGTCTGGACTTCTGAGAAGCTGTGATTTTCTCTTTCGCGATTTCTGAGCTCGTTGGTTTCTCGCATCTCTACCAGCGCTGCTGTGCGTCAAGACGATTCTCTTCTCTTGGCGGAGGGTTTCAGCGGCGTTAAATCGTGATGCAAGACTCTTTTGCCGCAGATCTTACCGACCCATTTGATCTCTTGCCTCGCATCTGGTGTTTAATGATTCTGCGCCAAGTTCTTTTTTTTCTTCCTTCCTTGGTGATGATCTTTCCACGCGACGGGCGATCTGAACTGATGCCGTGTTGAATGTCGCGTTTCTTTGAAACTCTGAAAGGTCGAGACCCGAGAGAGCAGATGATGATCCAGCAAAACTTATTCTACACTCCGATTGGATCGTGAGGAAAGCTTTTTCACCTCTGACAAGCTGATGCTCTCCCCGGATTCTAAAAACCAAACTTTTGATAGATCACTGAATTATAACTGTAGCGATTGACTCACTAGGCCACGTCAAAGCGAAACCGAAAACCTCTTGCAATCCCAATGGCTGCTTCTTGTTCTTGGTCTCCCTGGAAGCCATAGCCACACGCATGAGACAATGCAAGGCAGGCCGCGGCAGCAAAGAGATCTTCTCTACTTTGGGACGCCACCAACGCCGATCGCTCCCTCGCCCTCGATCGAGAGCTCGTACAAGGGAGGATCCTGGCAGGGGATCATCCTGGTTTTGCTCCTGCTCATCGTAGTCTTAGGAATAATCGGATGGAACACTCACAAGAAGAAGCAGAGGTTGCAGCAGTACGACCGGTTCCAGAATCCGTTCTAGCATTTGCTTTGTCCTGGAGCTTCTCTTTTTCTTGTTGCACTGGAAAGTAGCACAGAGTTTCCGGCTCCTTGCGAGAAAAGAAGAACACCACTTACTTGCCTGTCGAAAGAATCGGCTTACAGTTTTTGAATGATCGTGTTGATGATCCGGTGGAAGTAGGACATGCGCTGCACGGCTTCTTTCGCAGCGTCGAGATCGCTTCTCTTCATTGCTTCCGCGAAAGTTTTCTGGTAGTCGAGCATTCTCGAGTGTGACTGTGATCCAAAAAAGAAAAATGGATGTAAGCTTTAGAAAACCAACAATCTGACGTACTTTCTCTTTGAGTGCTTGGAGCTTGTTTGAGTCCGAGCAACTGCTGATAGTTTCTTGCATTTCCATCACCTATCCATCAAAAGCATTGGTGTTAAGAAGGAAAATAACATTTCTATGTGATTACCTCCATCAGGATTTCTGGATCGGTGACAGTCCCTTCCTCTTCAACGTCTACCCCGAAAGTTTCCAGCTAGAGAAGAAAAGAAAAACAAAGGCTTAGATTCGAGCTCGTCGTTCCATGGCTTTTCACTCACCAGATAAGTAGCTCGAGACAAAGGCTTCAAGAGGACCTGATACGCATTAATCACTTGAGAGGATTGATCGGCAGAGTATTCTTGCTCTTTCTAGAATGACACCAGTGAAAGTATAAGGCATGGATCACCAAAAAAAAGTTTTTCTTACCGAAGATTTCATGCTGTAGAGATCAGGATGAAGCTTCTTTTGCAAATTCTTGTACCGCTTCTCGAGCTCTCCTGTATCGAGCTCGAATTCCTTCTTCCTGGAAAAATCACGTCAGCTCCAACGATGGATGGCCAAAGAAAAGCTCTTACAAGTCGAAAATATCGAAGAAATTCACCAATCGATTGGCCGGCTGGATGATCTTGCACGCCGGGCACAGCATGAAAACCACCGCCTGCGCGGCCGCCCCACACGACCAGCATTGCCGCTGCTTACTCGTCCCAACCGAGGAGTAGCCGCGCCATAGCTCGAAAACTCTAGAACCGAAAGGCGCACCTCGATCGATCGAAATATCGCATGCCGGGGCGATCGCACGCGTGGAGAACGAAGTGGAATCCCTCCATCGAGCGCCGCGCCTCCAGACCTGGCGGAGGATTCGTCGTCCCGCCATAGCCAATCTCAAACCGGTCACCGGTTCGACACCTCTCCCAAACACCTAGAAGTCTGCAAAAGGTATATAGTACGTGTCTTTGGAGCCCGTGGAGTTTGTTCGCCTGTCATGGTAGGGTTCTTCAGCTACTTCACTGGAAAGCGCGGCCCTAGCGGCTTTGGATCATCCTCCACCGCGGAAGATGTCGCGCAAGGGATTTCGCTGCATTCTCAGGTTGCGATCATCACTGGTAAGCGAAATATCGATCGCTTGGCGAGATTTCGAGGATTTTTCTTTCGTTTCTTGCAAGGATCGACGTCTGGGATTGGATTCGAGACCGCGCGGGTCCTGGCCAAGCACGGCGCTCATGTCGTTGTCCCGGCCAGGAAAATCAAGGACTCGGAGGGAGTGCGATCGAGGATTCTCAAGGAGTTTCCAGATGCCACGGTGAGCGTTGGGGAGCTGGATTTGAGCTCGCTGGCCTCGGTGAGGAAGTTCGTGACCGAATTCAAGGCTTTGGAACTCCCGCTCAACATGATCATGTAAGCGTTCCTGTGCTTTTGGATTCTTCTCTTGGCAAGAATCTGGTCATTTTTAATTTTTTTTTGTGCTTTTGAAGAAACAATGCCGGGATCTCTAGTGGGAAGTTTGTTCTATCACCCGAGGAACTGGAGCTTGATTTTGCGACAAATCACATGGGTAAGATAGCTTTGCGCTCCTCCAAAATTGTAGCTCAACTTTGCTGGAGCTTCCAACAGGCCATTTCCTACTCGTGGAACTTCTGCTGGACGATGTCATCAAAACTTCCAGTGAGACAGGCATCGAGGGCCGGATTGTCATCGTCTCCTCCGAGGCCCATAAGTTTGCTCCGAAACAACTAGTATATGAAAAGCTCAACGACAAAGACAGGCATGGAAAAAGTTCTTCTAAGATGACTCGTGTTTGATACTGTCCATGCAGCTTTTCCTGGACGGGAGCCTACGGTCGTTCCAAACTGGCAAATATATGGCATGCCAAGGAACTTGCACGACGGCTTCAGGTAGCTTTTACTTTCTTTTGACCAAACAAGTCACGGCTTTCCTATTTATTGGATTTCGGTGTTCACAGGAACGAAATGTGAATGTCACCGCGAACGCTCTCCATCCAGGCGCTATAGACACAAATCTGGGACGTGATTTCAACAAAATTCTTGTTTGTAAGAATCCTGGCTTGATTGATAGAGCTGAAGGCTTTGAGTTTTTGTATGCAGCTACTGTGTTTTTCCTCGGAAAGCCTTTTCTAAAAACTGTCCCTCAGGTTTGCACAAAATCCTCTTTTGCTTTGCTAAACTTGTTTGTTTTCCGACCAGGGCGCTGCCACAACAGTTTACGCTGCGATCCACCCCTCGATGCGTGGAGTCACCGGGAAATACTTGTGTGATTGCAACGAAGCAGAGTGCAGTGCCACTGCCAATGATATGAAAATGGCTGCGGAGCTGTGGGAGTTTAGCGAGAAGTTTGTAGCATCCCATCCATGACAAGGTAATCAATCCTACACATATATCTGTCTTACAACACTACATATTTGGTGATTTAAGTTCTCAGGATTCGCAACTCCACAGAGTTGCCACTGTGATCCTTGGAAGAACATCGTCCACTATAATGTAATTTCTTTAATGGTAAGATGGCACATTTATTTATTTTATTGGTCTTTCACTCCACTACGTACTTGGCAAATAAGTTCTCAGGATTAGTCATGGCTTTAAACTCGACGGAGTTGCCGCTGTGATCCTTAAAGAACATCGTCCACTGAAGAGAGAGCGAAATGGTAAATACTCCAAGAACAGGCACACAGACACACAGATTTGGAAGAACCTGTTCTCCCGGTTGATCGGTGAAGCGAAGGTGTGGCTCGATGATAAACTTCACGCCAGCAGCAGTCACGCGCTCAGCGAGCTTCAAGAAATCCGGGACCGAAAGAGCCAATCCAAAGTGTGGGACTGGAACTGGATCTCCATCTTCCAGAAAAGAAGAAAGCAAAAAAAAATGGATCAGTCCAGCTCTCGCAAGACCGATCTTGGATCTTTAGTTACCAACTGCGTTTGCAGTGCTCGCGGCATTGTATCCTTCCACAAAATGGCACACCAGCTTGACAAAATCGGGCAGAATTTGAGTGTTTCGAGGGAGAAACTTAAAATCACTCACTTGATGGCCAAAGAGATTGAAATCCACCCAGGTCCTCGCCGATCGGCCCTCGGGACATCCCAAGATCCTACACAAGATCAAAACGAGGATTTGTATGGCGATGCTTACCCCCCGTAAAATTCCCGAGCTGCTGTTAGATCGTGAGTGGGAATCGCTAAATGGAACGGACACAGTGCCATTTTGCGAATATTAGGGTATTCTGTCCAAAACACCAGCTCGTTCCACTTTCTGCTTTGGCTTTTCAATGAATCATCAAGTATAATCATCCTTTATATGAAGTGTTTACATCCACCCAACTAAAGACTCGATTCCTGCATGCATTTATAAATCATTCTTCTTAAGATTCAAAATGCTCAACAACATTCCGTCCTTTTCATGTAGGCTTTAGTTCTCATTAGTAAAGAGCCTGTTCATTTCCTAATTTGTCTTTATTGGCTTCTTGGTTTTCTCAGTGCAATTTATATTCATTTGGAACTGAGCCAAGAAATAAAGCAATTCTACTTTACAGATTTATATTTATATTATTTGCCCATACAGACATTTCAGGATGACCAACTCTATATACAACTAAATTATGATCTTCCTGTATTATAAAGATAGAATCACCTAGACAGTTTGGTAAAGGGATACAATACGTATTTGAAGACCATCTAGCCCTTTGATTAAAAGCACCATATAAAACTAAATTTCCATCTAATTGCATTCTTAATTTACAATCAAAATCTAGACCATTTGTTTTTGTATCCCATACTGGAAAATTTTTAGAAGTATAATATACAAGATTACAATCTTTTTGCATACTTAAATAATAACCACTAGCTTCATTATATAAAATTTGATTGACTTTTAATTTTGATATCTGTTCGCTTTCAAGACCACTTAGCATAACAAATTTATTAGGGGTTTGAAACTTAGCAATATTCATGCTTAAATTGGTAAATATTATACTTGATAGATCATTCAAAGATTGTTGTATCCTTCTACAACGAAATATAAATGTTCCATAAAGAGAAGCAATATTTATAGTTAAATATTGAGGACATTCTGAAAGCTCATTTAAAACTGTGTAAATTGCATTAGATATTGTATCTCTGATTTGATCATTAAAAATATAAGAAACTCCAAACCTATCAATATGGCGTAATGGTCCAACAGTAATAATATGTATTGTTGCCTCAAACATTACGTTTCGAATATCTATTGTATTTGGGAAACTATTTAAAGGTAAGGTGAAACCACCAGTAGGAAAACTATTTCTCATTAAGAATCTTAGTGTACTAAACATATCTGTAAAATAGCTCCTATGTATTCTTCTTCCACCATATTCATAATTAATTATAGTTGATTGCATATATATAGATTCCCATATTAATACAAATACTATACTCAAAAGAAATAATTTTGCCATTTTAAGTAATACCACATGTCTTGATATTTATAATGTTACATAAGGACAAGCATAACTAAACTCCGAATGGTATAAATACAAATAGCAACATTAAGATTTGCCAGTGTGTTTGACGCGTGGGGACAGACACAACAACGAACTTTGATTTGCCTTATTTGGATAACCTAAACTGTTCCTCCCCTCATGAATACAAGACTATATCATACAAAAATATAGGCAGTCCCTGGGTGTCATGCTTCTTAGGGGGTGCCACAGGACCTCATCAGACAAAGCATTTGGAGATTACGCAATCATATATCACAAAAGTAATCAGGAATGTGAAATCTGGACCAAGTTAGTGAGAAAGTATAAAAATTAATCTTTTTTTATTAATTTTGTCGGTGTGTCCACGACAAACTTTCATCCACAGAAAAAGATCACCTTGACTGTCTTCAAAGAGCCATGCCGACAAAGGAATTGATTCTCCGCGATATCATGCTCGAGAATAACAGATGAATAATCTCCAATTCTCCCCTGAACGCTCTCATCTAAGAGACTGATAGGATGATTCATCTTTCGACACCTAGAAAGAAAGAAAGATGGATCGTCAAGTAGCTCAGTAAAAGTGTAAACCCGGGCTTCACTCCATCAAATCCAAATTCCCAGTCATGGAATGGACGAGGCCTCCTCAAACACATCAATGGATCTGCGACCTACGCTTATCCTCTCTCCAATCCTCGCCACCTTGATAGTCATAACGTGAAGAACTCTAGGCACACACGCTAATCTCTCTCTCCTCCAAATACTTGAAAAGCTCCACAGCCATCGAGACGGCATCCCGGACCCCAGCTTCCTCGTTGAGCTGACTCGCCAGGAGAACTCATCCTTGCTAATCACCCAGCGAGGAGAAGCCGATCTTTCAGTGTCCCAGCAGCGGCTCAGGCCATCCAGAAGTAGATCCAAAGAGAAGTGGCCTTTTGGCTTCTTTGGCTCGCTGATGTTGTCCCAGTCGGCTACCACCAGCACGAAGTTGGCTAGCTCCACAAACGCTCGCATGTCCGGCTCCAAGAGAGGCAGCTCCAGGAAGCGCATGTAGTGCTGACACACCAAGCTGTCAAAGACTAAAGCATGGAGCTTTTGCGTGGTCGCGTAGTAGAGGCTTTCTTGCACCACCACGTCGATCATAGATGGAACCATAGTCAACCTTGGCTTTCAGAAGCTCACGTATGAAGAAGCGATTGGAGCGCCAGTGAAAGCCTCGTAGAACAGCCTCAGAAACACTGCGATCTCAACCTTCTCGAGCAGGAGCTCAGCGTCACTGGATTCATTCTCACTACTGTCATACGGCTGCGCCAGCAAGAGATGGACCTTGTCAAAGTAGTGATCAAGCTCGCTGGCTGAAATTCTAAGCCGGCTCAACACGAACGTCCAAGGCCCAGGACCACGACTGCTCACGCCACAACGTTGTCGCCCGTGTTGACGATGAAGCTGGCCGTGTCGAGATAAGTGTACTCGATAGGACCGGATGCCCGAGGAGCAAACAAATGACTTGGAAGTGCACAGGAGAAAGGCGAGCTCAAGTTCACTCTCTCCTGGGAACCGGCAACTTTGTCCAGTGGAAACACCTTGTTCTCAAACTGCGAAGAAAAAGGAGATCTTTTACACACAACTGGCGTGAGAGAAAGGAAATCTCACCTCGAATACCACTGTCAGGAGTTTCAAGAACTGGACATTCTCAGTGATTGAAGATGCAGTAATAGACACCTTTAAAGCTCTAGCTGAAAAGGATAAACTCTTGTGCTTTCAGCTTATGTGTGACCTGGTGCCCATGCTGCGATCGAAGTGGACTGTGAACAAACCAGAGATCATGGACGACGACCACTCTACCTTGTCCCAAAGCTTTCCAGAACCAAGGGAGGCACACTAGTCTCGAGGACCTCGTGAGACACTCGCGCGTACTTCGCGAAGTCTAGTATCCATGCAACAGTGTTCGCAACCTGTGTGAACTTCTTGTGTAAATCTTGCTACTTCAGCTTGAATAGAATGCGAGCCTACCTCCCACTGCGGTGCTGTTGATGATTCCGAGCTCTTCCCGATGTGCGCTTGTGCAAATTGTGCCAGGTACTGCAACATGAGCCGGTAAGAATCAAGTAAGAAGTAGTGTGGAGTTCTTGCCTGTATGTACAAGATTGAATGGGAGGGGTGAAACTGATGGAGCAGTGTAGCGAAGCCAGCCACCTGGAAAAATAAGCAATGGAAGTTCGAGTTTGTTCTTCAAAGTTTTCTAGTCATTACCAGAGGGCAGCAATCCAGCGCGGTCTTTTTGGCTTTGCTCACGAGTGTTCCCAAGTGCTTGTCAAGCACAAAGCGTGTAAGCTGCGAGCACAAAAAGCCTGAGCATGGAGTAAGCTAAAGGATTCGGACCTGATTGATGGTGATGAGGAACAAGAAGAGGCTAATGTGAGCAGGGGGTTTCGCTGTGATGTAGGTAGTTTTCATTGGCGAAAACATGCCGCATGCTTGAAGCTGCCTCGCTAGCTCCTTCAAAACTCCGTTGCTTTTCCCATTTGTACGCTGCGAAGAAAAGTGTTTGGTGAATGGAAAAGGTGTTAATCGGACGATCACCTCGCTATTAGTTTCCATGGTAGAAAATAGAGCAGTACCGAGACCTTCCAACGCGAAAGAGACCATGCCCGACTCCAACTGTACCAAAACCATCAGATACAAAAGTAAAAAATAAAAATGCCAGAGACCTGAGATGCTGCACGTAATTGCGATGAAAGAAGGCATCGAATGAGTTGTAGCTGTCCAATGTGCGCTAATGACTCCACCCATGTTACGCACTCGGTGCTTGTTGATATCAACGCAATACACTGCAACGCATTCGTAGTCAATGGGAAAAATCAGCCAGCCATCAGTGATAAACATCTGCCAGCCATCTGGTTTACCTCAGCGTATACAGCTCCATTGGGGGTAACAGAAAGTGGTCTAACCGCACCTTCCAACGCCTGTAAGTGATCTAGCAGCTTGACTTCAATCTGTAAGGCTCCAAAGGCTCTCTTTTTCCTCTGAAAAATATGGAGCAAACCTCGGAGCGGAAACTAGAGATACACTTCCCGAGCACTCTCGCAGCATGAGAAGAAACGATCGAATCAATACCAGATACTCCGACAGGTCCGAGACTGTTGCAGGGAGCTATACAGTATATCCGATTGTTTTTGTTTTCTAGAAAAAGTACCTCTCTTGCAAGGTGATGAAGGTTCTCAAACCCACAAGCTCTTGGCCTTCCGCATTGAACCTGATTACAAGGCACGATCAAGAAGAAGTCACGAACTTTACTTTAAAGCACTTGGAAAAGTTACCAGCCGGTCATTGGGGCGAGGTACATAGATTTCGAAGGATTTGTAAGGTTGAGCAGTTTTAGCACAACTCGATCTGAAAGAGAAGGAGAAGAAAGGTAAACGCACAAACATAGGTGAGAATACTCACTCATAAAATTATCATCATTGACGCTCCCTGAATCAAGTATGGACGTCGGCTGCTTGTGAACTTTCGTCAGAAAGTGTTTACATCCCTGTTGAATATTTTAGCTTTCGGTTTAATAATAATAATAATAAAAATACCAGTTCAGTATTATGATTTACTATGTTTGTATATTCTTCTTGCCAAAGCTTTAGGCCGTGAACGTGAGCGTAATCCTGCAATACTGGTGTTCATAGCAACCAAAAGAGCACTGAGAAAATACCTGGAAATATTCCATTGACTGGCGTTGCGAGGATAATGAGGCGGATAATGCTTCTAGTTTGTCTTCAAGATCTTCAGTTCGACCTGCAAAATAGCAAGTGATGGACAGGCTTTTTCATTTTCTACGAAAAAAACCTGTAGAAAAGACCAATGCTTTTTTCAAAGCCAAGTCGATCTCCTCTGCTAGTTTTCTACGTATTCCTTCTTCAAGAAGTTGCCTTGGATCCTGCAATGCGGAAAGCCATCGGAAAACAATTTGGATAGACAATCAAAGTGGTTACCAGCTCAATCGCGCCAATGAAAGTTCTTTTCATTGACATTATTCCCTATAATCAACATATGTTACTAGACAGCGAGAGACCTCAAATGTACCTGCGTAAATACAGCAACTCTTTGAGTTGCCTTTGCCAACGCGTAACGCTCATCCAGCTGCGACTCTCGTTTATCAGCAAAATGAGAAACAAGAGATCTTAACCTTCGCGTAGTCTTTCAAGGAATCTTTCTCAAACCGCCCTGGTATCTCGCTTAAGTTCATCATTTGCTCCTTGATTACCCCGTTGAGAATCGTAAACATGCTGGCCTGAGAATATATGTAAAGAGTGGATTACGGACATAGCGGTATGCACAAACTTACAGGGACAATTTCCAAAACATTTCGCACGTAGTTTATAAGCTCAGATGAGTAGTATTCTGAGACAGAGTCGAGGTCCGCACTGCAAAAGCAGTAGTGTTATGTGTAGAGTTAACAAATTCTTTGTAGGTACCTTTGGCTCTGATATAGCCTCAAGAGTGGTATATCCATAACAGAGCGCAGCTTGAGAAACAAACACTGTAATTTCGATACAGTGAATGGATCATTTTGGATTTGAGATTGAATAAGAAGAGTAAATTCTCCTATCAAGCCCCATGAGTAAGAGCAGTCGCTGATCTGTGCGCCAGTTTGATTTCACATAAAGAATTTTTGATAGAAGTTCTTACCACTGATATAGTAGCAAGGGTACTTTCTTGCACGTTGAGTGTCCTAATCATTTCTTGCAATTGCATTCGCGCCTCTGACAAGTATTGCTTAGTCTGAAGACTTCCTTGTATCTGATCAGAAACAAACGCCCGAGTCAAAGACATAAAAAGAAAAGAAAAAGAAAAAAATCGAGATCAAACGTACTTGATGAAAATGTTCAACTTCTTCAAGCGCCGTAATTATGTGTTGAATTTTCCTACCTGCAGTTACTGCCTCGGAATAGTCTAAAGAATTAACCTGAGACATTCCATAAGTCCATATACTTATAAAGGTACGATATTGACCTCAGAACACATTTGAGAGAACCATTGTTGCAAGTTCTCATCTCTGATAGTCCTCGACAGAACCTGTATGTTATACATCACTATGAGAAATTTATGATAATATTAAGGCCGTACCTTAACCCCCGAAAAGAACGCAGAGAGGTCATTCATGCATTCAGCGACGATCGTCTTGGATTCAGCCCAACGGGATTCTTTTTTCTTCAAAAGTTCACCGTAGACATTCTTAAGCTCGAACTCCAGCTAAAAGAACAGTCATTAAAAACAGAAAGTGGACAAAGCGCAAACATACCCGTGAAGTGTCCAGCAATAAAGTCAGCAAAGCCATATCTTGGTTCGATACCAATTCTCGAAGTTTACGGCTGGTGGTCTGAAATTAAGCATCGCCAGCGTGAACATTTCACAAGGAAAAAAACGTACGATCTTATGAAGCAGCAGCCATCGTAATGTCGCATTACAGTCCCGGGCACAAGACAGTAGAGTTGAGATATTGTTGAGCACGAAATCCTGATTCAGAACTCCTTCCGATAAGAAGGCAGAGAGATCTGACAAGAGTGTCTGGACCTGCCGTCACGACGGTTCTTCAGAAAAATAACCAGCAAAACTGAAACTTCTCACCTTGGAGATTTGTTCCTGGCTCACAACACGCACAGCAGAAAGCGTAATGCTCGATGAAATTGCGTTCTTTGCCGCTTTGAATCGACTCCATGCACTGAGAAGGTCCACGGTGAATCCCATAAAGACTGGAAAGTACCCAGTAAACTCTGAAAAACTTGTCCACAATCTCCCGCATCATCACACTATCGGAGTGAAGAATGGTTGGAGCGAAGTAGAGTAGCACGTAAAGGCTGGCAGCTTGACCAAGAAGAGCTGTAGTTCTGTGATCCGGACTAGGATAGTGCCCGACTTGATTGTACAGGTCGTGAGACTTCAGCCTTCCAATTACCGTTTTCACCAGAGAACTCGGCAAAGGAAAGCGTGAAAACGATTCCTCTGGCCTGTGCAGGTTGAGCATCGTTGCCGGGACTGGTGGCGGGGAACTTTGAAGAAACGCTGTCACAGCCACCACGGGCGAAGATGTTGGCTGAGGATAGTGCCGGCAAAGCGTAGAAATGGAGTCGAAGTTTGGGACGTCAAACGTGCCTTTACAGCGAAAGTATGAAACCAAAAGGTTCTCTCGGAGTGTTCCATCGAGACGATGTTCAAGGAGAATGAGCACGACGCCTAGAAGCACCAATGCTTCTACTAGCAGTTGACAACCATCCTCGTTGTGGAGAACGCTTTCGACAGTGCTCTGGATGTAAACACCTTCCTACAAACCGAGCAAAGAACTGCTAGAACTTAGTCTAAAAAAAACTTGATATAGTTACCTGAAGATCTTCCAGATACCGTGTAAGATCGACATAGTAGTTTACAATGCCATTGAAGAGCTGGAAGAACCGTTCTAACAAGTAAGAATACTTGTCTCGAAACTCGTCGTCCAGGGAAGATAGCTCAGCATTTGATTCTATACGCTCCTCGAAAACATCAGGCGACTTGAAGTACCTGCGCATTAATCCACGTTGCATAAATCCAAACTCCAAAGCAAAAAACACACCTGAAATCGAACAGCAGAGGCGCGAAGATGGATCCGGGCGACTTAAACTCCTCCGGAACACGATCTGAGAGCCGCAAAAGCTCTGCAATAAGCGCCTGTGCTCGGCTTACCAGCTGAAGAAGCGCTACACCCACACTCTGCTCGCAGAAATCCAGCATAGCTTTAGAACCCTAAATAGTGTCGCGTCAATTTTTTTGAAAAAAAAATGCCAAGCTTGCATCGATTCCACAAAGCCTGGAGCTTGGCGTCTTATTTGACCGAGCCTCATTTGAGCTCATTCCACCTGCATAGAGCATTCTTGATTGTATAAGAACCAGCAAGCAGTGATCACACTCATTTAAGCTTACCTGTCTTGCCTTCTCGCAATTTACGTTCTTGTTTTGCAAGCTCGCGTTTTGCAACTTGAAGTCGTCAAGCTCCTTTTCCTTGAAAGACGAGTTTAGCTTCTCCAGAAGAATCGCGAAAAATCCTGAGAAGATTACCTTCAATCTTCAGTTTTTCTGGGCTTTTCTTCGTTCTCTTTGAGTTTCATTTCATCCCCTTCGAATCTTTGACCACCTTTCGCCAAGTGTCTGTGAAATCAAACAAGCAGTCACGAGTAGTTCATTCCAATCCAAAGCGAAAAAAAAAAAAAAAAAACGCATGCACCTGCTTGTCCAGCGCGTCCATCATATCTAGAAATCTTTGCCCCTTTCCTTTAGCCTGTATCACACCATAAAAATGTGAAACGCACAAGGAAACGGAAATAACATACTTTTGCAAGTGTCTCGCTTCCATTTGACGACATGTTGGCTCTTCTGCCTCCAAGCACCTTCTAGAGTAGCAAAAGCATTAAACTGACAGTAAAACACGATCTTTCATAGCTTACCCGAAGCTTGTTGGTACATTGCATAATCTGTATTCGTAGCTGAAATTCTTCTTGCGGATTGAGAGGTTTTTCACTTTTCACAACCTAGAGATCGAAGTAAAGATCGCGTCACATGTTGGATGGTAGACTTCGTACCTTGTCAGTCAGCTCATCCAGCTTCTCTTAAATGCTGCACGTTACAACGCAGCTAGTTGTTTGGAGTTCTTTCACCTCCACGGACAGCTTTTGGACTTGGGGCCCTGCAGCTTTTCTCCCTGCCTCGATTTGAAAAATCGAGCTTTGAAGAATCGAGTTTCGAAGCTGAACAAGGAAAGTTCTTAGTAAGCTCTTCACAGCGAAAGAAACCTTTCTACCTGTAGTTGCTGGGACTTATCCACAAGCGCAGTCTCGGTATCCGGAAGTTCCATCTCCGCTCTAAAAAGAAGTTTGCATTCATGATCGAAACAGCAAAAGAAAGAGAAGAGCGCACCTGGAGTAAGCAAAAATATCCAGTGCGTGAATGGTCCCAAATATCCAATCAGGAGATTATAAAACGCACGAACTAATGACAAGCGTCAGTATAGAGATCCTGTAAGATTTAGCTGCTGGAGCGCAATCCTAAAGAGACGATCGATCGCGCTCGATCAATCGCCATACCTTGGAAATCCCACGAGATACAAGCTGGCTTGACATCAATGACGCCGATCTGCGGCGATGTCCCCAGCATAAACCCTAAGACGAAATTTTGGCGGGAAATATAATTTAAACTTGCCCACGTTGGCATGCCACGTGGGTTTATCATCTGGTTGCCCTAAAAACAACAAAAGAATGAGCTCGGCTATGGCTGCCATTCCAGTGACCGCCCGCGCATTGGGATTGCGGAAGAATGCCTCGTCCACGCCGCGGCAATCGATCACAGGTGATAGATTCCTTAGATTTCCACACATCGATCGCTTCGCGCTTCCCGCGAGGTCTTCAAGCGACGAGGATCCTCCGGCTCCGCCGCAAGAAGCCTCCCCGGCCGACTCACAGATAGAAGCGCTGGAGGCGCGGCTCAAATCCAGGCGGCGCAAGCGGAGGAGCGATCCAGCGGCGAGCTCGTCGGCGAGGTCCGATCTTCCGACGCGTGAAATCAAGCCCTGGGATCAAATGTCGCTGGGAGAGAAGGCGTATGAGGTCTATGTTGGTGAGAAGGGGATTCTCTTCTGGCTCAACAAGCTCGCGTACGCATCCATCTTTGTAATCGCTGGAGGATGGATTGTTTTTAGATTTGTTGGGCCGGCTTTGGGGTGGTACCAGCTTGACAAGCCGCTCTTACCTCCAGACAAGCTCTTTTCAGGCAGTGGTGACGTGAAACCACCATCGACTTAAAAAGTGTAAGTGTAAGCTCCTGGGTGGGATTGTCTTTTTTTCTACCTTTTGTCTGCCTCACCACAATTGCGTTGTGTTGCTGCTCGTCTGGTTTTCCTTTAAATACTTCGTACTATGCAGGCGTTTAGGTGTGATCCCAGAGAGCATCAGTGGCAGCAGCGATGGTTTAATTCGTGATGTTGAGTTTGGTATGTCCTGTGCTGGGTACTTCGTTTTTTTTTTTTCCTGAGAAAATTCATTGCTCGCATTCCAGGGATTGAAAACCTCCGAGTAGCAGCCAGAGAGATAGCCAGTTGAAATCTTATGAGATGAGATAGCATTAGAACAGAGCATCAATCCGGAGCAACAGCTCTAACAAGGTAACTACTTTCTCTTGTTTTTTTTACTCCTTGTTTCTATAGTTTTTCTTTTGCTTACCATGCACACGCTTTGTTTTGCAGCCGAAAAAAGCCATAGATTTGTGATAACTCACTCAGTTGCACTGGTTAGCACCGATTCCGACGCGGTTGCCAGTGCTATCGAACGACATCCGGAACGACTGCTGCTGGATGTTGCCGATGATCGAGAAGTTCTCGCTGTTTGGAGCAAAAGCCAGGCAGTAAGTCCCCGAGTTGTCCACCGGAACCATGATGTTCTGAGCAGGCAACGCCATGGTAGCACCTCCGTTGAACACAAAGCTCACTGCCGGCAACATTATCGACGATCGCCCAGACAGGTCGTAGCAAGTGTCAAACAGAGAGAAGCCGCTCGTCATCTTCGCGTCCGACGGCATACCAGCTCGGAAAGCATCCCTCATCGGGTTGTAGGCCGAGGTGACGAGCCGGGTGACGGCAGTGCCCGAGTCGAGGATCACACCACCGTTTCCAGTCGACGAATCCAGCGAGAGTGAACCCGCCGGGATGTTTACTGAGGTTCCGCCAACTTTGATGCCGACCATCTCAACATAGTAGAAGGTATCCAGCTTCGGGTTCGTGAGCAGGGTGGTGAACTGAGCATTGGATGCCACTGCCTGGTTGCCGAAGATGAGCGGCACACTTCCGGTGGACTCTCTAGTCGGCAGGCAGTACGAGAAAACACTGCCGTAGAGCTGGCCGACCTGTGACGGAAACGAGAGAAGTCCCTTGCCGAGTCCGAGAAGTCCAGCAGCGCCAGTGAAGAGGCCTTGATTGTTGTGGCCGCAGCCGATGGCAACCGAGTTGACAGCGTTGGAACCGAAGGAAAGAGTCTCGGTGGAGAACTCACCGACAGTGAAGGAGCCATCGCCGTAAGAGACCTGGTACAGGCACTGGTTCCTCCGGCAGCCGCGGATCAAGAGCTGCTGGCACAGCGAGCTCCCGCAGGTGATGGACTGGAAAGTCGAGGAGAAGGAAGGATTGAACAGAGGGTCCGTCTGGCCGTAGCAGCTCTGGCAAGGCAGGCATTGGAGCCAGAGAACATCGCTTCCGGTGTCGGCAACCATGTTGACGGTTCGCGGAGGTGTTCCGACTCCGAGAGAGACGAAGTACTCGCCACTGCCGTCGGAGAGGCCGGATCGCAGCGGCGTCTCGAAGTCCTGCTGCAAGAAGGGGTTGGTGTTCTTGAGGGGATTCGTGAGGCTCGACTTTGGGATCCCGGCGACTCCGAGGCTGATCCGGGAGGAGATGGACAGGAGGCGGAGCTCGTCACGGTGGAGACGATTGCGGACGAGGCCGTGTACGGTGGCGTTGGCCGGGCGGTACGGTGAATCTGCCGAATCTCTGTGCATGAGACCGATTTGGAGACCACTGCTGACAGACTCTTCTTTTTCCTCCAGGCCTTGGGTGGAGGAGGAGGAGGAGCCGCGAGCTGGAGTCACGGGAGTGGGATTTCTTCCGAGGAAGAGAGCGTCGATGCTGATCTTGAGGTACTCTTTGTCGCTGCTGCTAGCTCTGGATTCCACCGAAGTGACCACCAGGCTGAGAATGCAGACGAGCGCAGCTAGAGCCATCGTCGCCCCTGCGAGGCAAAGATCGATCGATCAAAGAAAGACGAAGAAGAGCAAGAAGCAATGCCAGGCACGACGACCCAATCAAGAATCCGAGGCATTTGGCACCGACTTACCGGCTAGAGGAAGCTCCGCGACACGATGAAGCTGCCCAAGTCCTCCAAATCTCTCGCCGAGCTCACGGTGCCGCGAGCATTCCCCGGGAATTCGAGAAGAACGCGACCAGAAAAGCGAGCCAAGGCCAAAGAAAAGGAAATTCCTGACAAAAACTCTGGAGCACGGGCAAGGAGGTGGAAGGAAAACACAAGGATCGATCGGTCGAGAGATGGGCTATAACTCTCGCGAGAGTAAAAAAAAGAGCTCCTCCCTCTCAGAGATGGAGGAGATGGTGAAAGAAAGAAGCAAAGCAAGCTCGTGATACCTGTGAGCAAAGAGGCCACATTTATACCATATGGAACAAAAGAGAGAGGGAAAAGTGGGAGCACAGCAAAGTAGCCAGCAGCAGCAGGAACAAGGCAGGCGGGCGGATTATTATAGTCAAATAAACTCGATAATTAAGACGCAAAGCTAATCTGCAAAGAAAAAAAAAAACAGAGGAAAACACGACTCTAGATGCTCTCTAAAGTTGAAAAGCGTTTGAGAAGTTAAACTCACTGTTCTTCGTCCCCAATTTGGATCACTTTCTTTACCACTGTGCATGGTAGAAAAGGTGGGATTTTTACATGCAGCCAACCCGCTTCTCACCTGCCTATAATTAAGAAGCACAACGAAGAAGAAGAACACGTCCAGTTTTAACCGATATATTAAATGATCGATGATCGATCTCTCCCCCTGTTTGGTAAGGTAGCTAAGGTTTTTCTTTTAATTCTCAGTGGCGCCCATGATTCGATCCAATCGAGAGCTAAACTTGGAACGCGGCTCGAGAGACTCGCATCGCCAACCAAAGCTTTTTTTGGGCGGGCCAAAGTTTTCCAAGCTTCTTGGAAGGATCAAACAAGAGGGGATTTTCTTACTGCTCTTCCGTGAATTTAGTTTGAAGCGTCACAGGAGATGTGTGATTCTTGTTAGTTGGAGTAGCGATCTTGCTATTTAGATCCGAGGATTCGTAAGTTTGGTGTTGGATCTTAAACAAATGCGCCGCGTACGGCATTAGAATCAGAACAATGCGCCGCGTACGGCAGTAGACCCAAGTAAATGCCCGCGTACGGCATTAGACCTGGTTACGGTGTCAAAAGACAAGTGAATAAATGAAGGTGACAGGCCGTACGAGCATTTGTCTTCCATGTTCTTTCGCCAAACTCTCGTACGTAGCGATCCAATGGATATTCTCCCCGTCCACGTCAGCGCACGATATACTAATGAGCAAAGTTTTTGCTCTGGCCTAGGGCTTTGGCTGGAGCTGCGATGGCGCTTTCGATCGGCCGGCATTGCGCGCGCTCGCGATCGCTGCTCCGGAGGCTCTATTCGTCGTCGCCCGATGCCGCGCCGGATCTTCCAGCTCTTCAAATGCCGGCTTTCGATCACGTCCCGCGGCCCTACGCCGGCCCCAGCGCCGAGGAAGTTCTCGAGAAGCGGAGGAAGTTCATGAATCCCGCAATGTTTCTCTACTACAAGAAGCCTGTGAGTGAGAATTTGTGTCCTTTTGATGGATCGATCGATCGCGGGCGTCTTGCAGCTCAATATTGTGGAAGGGAAGATGCAATATCTTTACGATGAGAGTGGAAAGAGGTACTTGGATGCGTTTGCTGGGATTGTCACTGTTTCCGTGGGTCATTGCCACCCAGAGGTTGTCCAGGCCGTGATCAAGCAAACCGAGCTCTTGCAGCACACAACCACGATCTATCTACACCATGCTGTCGCCGATTATGCTGAAGCTCTCGCGGCAAAAATGCCTGGAAATCTCAAGGTTCTGTGAAAAGTTCTATGTTCTTCTGTAAACTTTTATCTTTCTTTCCAGGTGGTTTTCTTTGTGAATTCTGGATCAGAGGCTAACGATATGGCAATGCTTATGGCTCGGCTCTACACTAAGTCGTTTGATATTGTTGCTCTACGTAATGCCTATCACGGTATGAGCCCGTCTACCATGGGACTTACTGCCCATAGCACCTGGAAATATAGCGTCCCTCAGGTAAAATCTTTCGTGTCGGATCTAGAGCTGAATTTTTTCTTTCTTTTTTTTCTTTTTCTTTTCTTCTCTTCAGGGATTTGGAGTACACCATGTTTTGAATCCGGATCCCTACAGAGGTCCTTTTGGAGCTGATGGAAAGCTCTATGCAAACGACATCGCAAATCTTATTGAATCAGCAACACCCGGAAAAGTGGCTGGATTCTTTGCAGAAACAATTCAGGTTTTGCTTTTATATTCTGTGTGTCGTGAGCCTTTGTCTTTTTTTCTTTTCAGGGTGTTGGCGGCGCCGTGGAACTTGCGCCGGGCTACTTACCAGCAGCCTACGAAATAATTCGAAATGCTGGAGGTCTTTGCATCGCGGATGAGGTACAAACCGGGTTTGGCCGCACTGGAAGCCACTATTGGGGATTTGAAACTCAAGATGTTCTGCCAGATATCGTGACGATGGCGAAGGTCGGTGTTTGTTTCTTCCTCTTTTTTGCTTGCCAGTGAAGTATATGCTAACTCCAATATCCAGGGAATTGGAAATGGTCTTCCTCTGGCTGCGGTGGTCACGACACCAGAGATAGCAAGTGTTCTCGCAGAAAGGCTCTTTTTTAATACTTACGGCGGGAATCCCGTGTGCTCGGCAGCAGGCCATGCTGTGCTGAAGATTTTGGACAAGGAACAGCGTCAGCAGCACTGCGCTACTGTCGGAAACCATCTTCTCGCGAGACTCCGGGCTTTGCAAGATAAATACGAGCGTACGTATATCCATGCTTTGGTTTAGTTCTAAGAACTCTCCAACTTGATCTTTGCAGTGATAGGAAACGTCAGAGGCAGAGGTTTGATGCTGGGAGTAGAATTTGTCACCGACAGAGTTGCCAAGACTCCCGCGAAGAATGAGACGATGATGGTGATGGAAAGAATGAAAGGTGAGCTTTTCGGTTTCTTTGTTTACGCGTTGTCACGGTTTTCTGGGTTTTCTATCTTAGATCTTGGGGTGCTCGTCGGCAAAGGTGGGCGACATGGTAACGCGCTTAGAATCAAGCCGCCGATGTGCTTCACTCTCGAGGACGCTGGTAAGAACAAACTTGATCAATTAGATTGTCTTTGATAAGTATTCTTAACACTATTTCTTCACAGATTTCCTGGTTGATGCGTTGGATCATTCCCTCTCCACGTTTTAAATCCTTGAGGTGAAAGATCACCTCTCTTTCATATGTGGAAACGCAAAGACTATAAAAGCGATGATTTGATTCCCTACGGTGGGTATATTCCCGCATCTTTATCTAATTTGTCGAGAGGATATTCCAGGGTGAAATGGCAGGTGGAAGCTTGATCGTGTTCCATGGATGGAGTATCTCGACGCGCTACAAACCCTAGCGTCTTGCTCGTCGCCAGCGCCTGCTAGTGCCATCGCGAGGCGTAACCTGAGGTGCGTATCCAGCAGGGGACGACGATCGCCGGCTTCGATCCGGCTCCATTTGGTGGAATTCCAGCAATCTCTCCAGCGATCTCGCATCGTAGCTGCGGTGTTCTTGTCATCTGAGGTGCGCGCTACTGCGCGGCCAAGGCGCGGCGGCCGCAGGAAGAAGGCGGAGTCGCAGGATGGAGATGTGGAGCTCGAGATTTTCAAGTTTATGGAGCAATCGGGAAAACCTAATACGTTCCCGACCAAGGAAGAACTCTTCGCTGCTGGTCGTGGCGATCTAGTGGAAGCTGCTGTTAGGAAAGGGGGCTGGCTGACAGTAGGATGGGATTTCCAAAGGCCATCCTCGTCTGGGAGCGATCTGACCCAAGAAAAATTCGAAATTCACGTCAATGGTTCGAGGAAAAAGAAGGATCGAGCTTCGAAAAATGGATCAAGGTGAGCGAGAGTATCAACTTGGAATACTTTTTTATTCATCTTTTGCTTTTCTCGTTTCAGTGATAGTGATGAGCAGCATTTGATGCGGTTGAATGGCCAAACCAGCCAAAGTTTTCCTGCAAAGGTGTGTTAGTGTTTATAATTCGTTGGTTGGCCGAGATTTTGATGTTCACCCTCGTCAGGGAATTTTAGTCCATGGAAGCAATCCGGTAGAATCAAGCTGCCCCGCAAATGATGGACCTTCTTACATACGAAATGGAAAGGGTAGGAGACATCCCAGAAAAACAACGAGCACGCTGGCTGAAATTGACAAAGCTACTACCGATGGTAAGTACCGTTTCTTTTTATTTGTTCTGTGTATAAGTTGTTTTACTCTCAGGCCCAGAACTAAATGCCGAGGCCAGCCATGAGCGCTGGAGAAGAAAGCGCAGGAAAAAAACGACGTCCATCGCAGCTGATAATAGTACCAGCGTGAAGAATGCCTTGAGTTGGATACACGACATGGTTCAAAAAAGGGAGCAGTGGATTTTGGAATCAAGATCGAGACCTTCGAAACAAAGGTCATCGGAAACCCCTCCAGCTGATATTACTCCTGCAGAACGAGAGTCTTCGCCGCTATCAAGGAGCGATGACGGAAGCTCATCCAGCAGAGTATCGCGAAGCTCGTCTCGAATTTTTCCAGCGGAGTTACCAGCAAGGGGTTCTTTGAAAGGAAATTCGTTGAGACCATTTTCGACGGTACCGTCAAGCACGACAGAAAGTCCTGAAACGTCCGACAGGTCACTCACTTCCAGCAGCCCATCAAAAACCGGACAGGACATACGAACTCCAGCTCCATTGACAAGAACTTCATCTAGAGTATACTCAACTGGAGCTTCAGCTTTGTCCAAGAAATCTTCATCTTGTGCTGCAAGCTTTTCTTCTACCACAGAGACCGGCGGCTCAAATTCTTTCAACTCTCGATTGCAGAAGCTGGAAACAAAGCTACTTGCCACACGCGCAGCGCTAAAATCGGGGCGCGCCACATTGTTAAAAGGAGAAGACAAGCTTTTGCAGGTTGGTGAGTAGGCAACAATGTTTTCACGCCAAACATCTCACGTTGTCACTGCAGGTACAACGAAAAACTAGCGAAGATCTTGCAAAAGCCGCGGACTCTTTGGAATTCAAGGAGACGGAGATCATGCAAACCCGTGCGGAGCTCCGGAGAACTCGTGCTCAAGTAACTGCAATGCAAGCGAAGATGGCTCTGGAGCTCTCGTAAGTTGCATTCCCTGTTAGCTTTCTCATGCTCAAAGTTTCGCGTTCCAGGGAAGCTCGCAGAGCAGCTGATGAGAAACAAGTGCTACTCGACAGAGCAGAGAACGCGCTAAAGATGATGCGATTTGTACGCATTGTTTGGCCCAATGCTGCGTCGCACGTCCTCCTTACAGGCTCCTTCGACGGTTGGACAAACAAGGTATCAAAGATCTTCTAGCGGTGACAAAGTAGTTCTTATTCTCTTTCTCTTGGCAGATCAAGATGGAAAAATCTGGTGCCGGAGTCTTCGTGACGGCTCTACATTTGTATCCTGGGCGCTACGAGGTAAGGGTCTTCGCAAATTTTTGATCGGGTTTTAGGAGAAGTAGACTGAGTTTCGCAGAAGTTTGGATTGGAGAGAAGTAGATTGAGTTTCCCAGAAGTGTGGAGAACTAAGAATCAAGTTGTTTATGTTTTTTTCCAGGTAAAGTTTATAGTGGATGGAACATGGCGAGTAGATCCATGCCGTCCAATCACATACGCCGACGGCATCGAGAACAACGTGTTAATGGTGTCCTGACGGTACACACAGAAAAAGAACACCACACTGGGCGAAAAGATTTCGACCGTCTAGAAATTGGACGGCTAGATATCAATGTAACGTTTGTATTCGTGTTAAGCCAATCAATTAGGGTTTATCGGAGGAGGATGGGAGCCGAGGTTCACGCGGTTGCGCCCGTCGCCGGCGCCATGGACATCAACGCTGTGCGCGATCTCATTGCCGCGCGTCGATTCAACGAGATCGCTGCCTTCTGCGAATCGCTGGAGCTCGAGGTAATCGCGATTTTCTCTTCGGCGTGCTTGGCTCAGGGTTTACGTGTAGTACGCCGCGAGAGGATCAGAGCATGGCGAGGATTGGCCTTACGCAATCCACATTCTTGGCCATATCTATAACTCGGATTTGTAAGTTCTTTGGCTATAGATTCTCCTCTTTCTTCTCTCTTGATCGATTTTTTGTTTCCTTCTCCAGGGACAGTGCTAGGTTTCTTTGGAAGCGGATCCCCGACTCGATCAAGCAGTCGCAAATGGAGCTCGCTCAAGTCTGGAAGATTGGTCAGTGCATGTGGACTCACGACTACGTCGCAGTGCACGAAGCCATCCGAGGATTCGACTGGACGCCAGACGTGAAACAAGTGGTCGCTGCTGTTGCGGGTAAAACACTCGTCGGTGATCTTTGCCTTCTTTTCTCATTGCTTACTTACACCACAGAGGACTTCTCGAGAAAAATCTTTCGGCTCCTGTCCACGGCATACTCGACTTTGAGCATACCCGATGCTGCGTCATTCTTTGGACTTACGGAGAGCGAGACCATCGCATGTAAGTTCTTTCCAAACTTTTGCAATGGTTGGAAAAAAGTTCTTAGTGTGTGTCTGTGTTCTTGCAGTGGCTGAGCAGCAAGGATGGATATTGGATCCCACATCGCAAATGTTCAACGTCCGGGCTATTCCACCGACGGCGGAGCAAAAGCTGGATACGAGCAACTTACAGAACCTGACGGAATACGTCTTCCATTTGGAGCATTGAGTACTCTCTCTTTACCTTTCTGCTTGTTTTTTTTTTTCTGAAAGTTCATATCGACATCTCTTTCAGATGCGCGCGCTCCGTTAAGATTCAATCTAATTGTACCCGCGCACCCGCAGTCAACTGCAAAAGTTGTGTCATGCGGAGTTCATGCTCAACCAAATTGCTCCGCTTTAGTCGAGCATTTAAGAAGTTTTGTTTGGCTTGAGACTCCGGTCATGGCTTCCGTATTGATTCTTCTGACTTGCTCGCTGTTGGTGTTCCAAGTTACAGGCTACTGCGGACCTCTGACGAGCTTCGAGACAGCTCCATGCTCGGTTTTCTCCAGAGAGCCTGGCTACGAGCTTCGCGAGTATCCTGGAGGCCAGGTAAATCAAACTTTGCTTCAAGGCCAGGATTGATATTTTCTCGTGCAGCTGGTGGAACTTTCGATTGAAAATTCCACATTCGAAGCTGCCACGTTTGCCGGATTCTTTCGCTTGGCCTCGTACTTGAATGGCGACAACCGGCACGACGTCCAAGTCCCAATCGTCCTTCCTTTTATGGTCCAGCCAGCCTCCAGTGTTGATGGCTACAGAGTTGGATTATACCTCCCGAGAAGGTGAGACTATTTTCGTTTCCTTGTTTTCCAACTTCTAAACTGTTTCGTGTGAAACTTTCCAGTGTTGGCGATGCTCCATCGCCGAGGGACAGGAGCATGCGCATCAGGGAAGCGCACCGTAGCATTCAAGCCGTGATCGGTCCATTCCCCGCCTTCGCCATCAACGAGACGAACTACTTGCACAACACGAGGCAGCTCATGCGGTTCCTCCAGCGCGACGGGCTTCGCTACAATCCTTCCTCGGTGATCTACGCCGCGTACATCAATCCCGCGGACTTGCTCACCATCCACCAAGAAGTTCACCTCCAAGTTCTCTTTGATTGATAACGAGCTCAGGTAAGAACTCAAGAACTTTCTTTGAATGTATGATATTAACAAGTTTCTATATGATCAGGCAGTAGCGTCTAGCTCCCCCTTGTCAAGCTTTTCCGCGAGAACTTTCACGGTTTTCTTCTCTTCTTCCACAGTGTCAAGGATTTCCTCGATCTCGTCGTGAATCTCCTCGGCTGTGGCTTCCACCTTCAAATCCAAGAGTAAATCTAGAGTTTGAGCCGTGGTTTGTTTTAACTTTGATTTTTTACCTTCTCTATAAGCTCCTCGACGCCGTCCGCCGCCTTATCGGCATACTCGGCGAGTTTTTCGACGGTGTTGGCCATCCCTTTGATCACCGCGGCGCTGTCTTTGATGCTCTCCTCGGCGCGATCCAGCTCCCCTGCGCAAGCAAAGCAAAGACCCATCCATTTGATCGAGCGAGCGAGCGAGAATCACTTACTGTCTAGTTGCTGGAGGAAGAACTTCGCGGGAGTGTTTGCAGCGAACCTCACCACGGATTTTAGCCTGGAGGGAGTGGATCAAACGAAAGTTTCTAGGACGATCTCTTGAGAAGCTTGGAGAAACTTACACATCTTTGAATGTGGCCTCCACAGTGACACCGGGTGGAGCGGTTCTGGATCTGGAAAGCCAGTGAATGAGCGAGCAAAACGAAGATCAAGCTTGTGAATTTCCACCTCACTCGCAGCCTGGAGAAGTCGTGCGATCCAACGCGCAGCCTGTTGGTTTGACAGATTGCAGTCAAGCTCGAGCAGATCTGCTGGGAGCCGGTGATAAACTCTTTGGTGGCATTCTGGTGGCACGATCCAGCTGCCAGAACAGCCGCGGAAGAGGCAGCCATGGATAGATCCACCGCAAACTCCGGAAGAACACGAAAGAGGGAAGAAGGGAATGAGGCGAATAGACAAAGGTTTTTTCGTTCTAATCAGTGAAGGCAAAAAGGAAAAATTAGATAAAAAATCGCAGGAGCCATCGTCGTTCTAAAGGCTGGTGTTTGGTCGCATCCACATGGTTCTCGTGGGTGGCTTTTTATCTGTTCTAATGCTTACACCATCCAGAACCTTTACAAAGGTTTTTCACGATCATTGGTCTGATAATCAATCATTCATTCATTCATATGTTGTTTACACAAAAATAATTAATCCCAAGAACATAGAGTTTACCTCATTTTAAACAACTCGTTCTTTTCTGCCGATTGAATAGAAATTAACTAGATATTTGGAAACTAAATAAATTAACTATTCTTTGACAGCATTTGCCTTTAAATGGCATCTTGATAATTCGCCTTTTAGATGCTACATTTAAATTTGTTGGTCTCAAGACTGTATTCTTTTTCAAGATGCCCATTCTAGGCAAATGCCAAAAAATTTAACCAATGTAATTTCTAACGGACACTTGCCTAGGGTTCTATGCGGCTTCTCTCAACAGAGTCTCTCCAATCATCCAGATCCGCCCTCCTTGCGCTCGTGAAATCGGCCGGGCAATCCAGAGATCTCGCCCAGGCGCGCCGCGCGCACCACCAGATCCTCGACACCGACTGCCGGAATGATCCCTACCTCGCCAATCTCCTGGTGGAGATGTATGGCAAATGCGGCAGCGTGGGCGACGCGCGATCCGTGTTTGACTCCATGCCCGCCCCCAATTCCTTCTCCTGGGCGCTCCTCCAATCGGCCTATGCCCACAACGGGCATCTCCACGCAGCGCGCGAGATCTTTGCCCAAATGCCCGAGCGAGGGATCGTTTGCTGGAATTCGCTCCTCGCGGGGCTCGCGCACCACGGCGATGTCCGAGAATCCAACGAGTTATTCACGAAAATGCCACAGCACGACAGATTCTCGTGGAAGGCGATGATCGCAGCATTTTCCCAGAACGGGCTTTTGGAGTCCGCGAAATTGTGCTTTGATGCCGCACTGGAGCGCGATCTAGCCTCTTGGACAGTGATCTTGCAAGGATTTACGCGTAATGGATGCTTGGATCACGCAAGAGAATTTCTGGAAAAAATGCCACTGTGGGATGGAGTTTCTTGGACAGCTTTGCTTCAAGCATTTGCCCAGGATGGGCATTTGGATCAGGCAATGCATGTCTATAGCTTAATCCCTGAGAAGGATATAGTGGCATCCACGATCATGATGCAAAGCTACGCTCACCACGGTCGGCCCGACGCTGCCAAGCGGATTTTCGATGGGATCTTGCGAGACAAAAGAAGCATTGTGACTTGGAATGTGATGCTCGGTGCTTACACCCAGTCGGGAAAGCTGGAGCTCGCCAAGGAGATTTTTGATCAGATTCCGGTCGAGAAAGATTCCGCGACTTGGTCGACGATGATCCAGGCGTATGCGCAAAGCGGATACATGACAAGAGCGAAGAATCTCTTCGATTTCTCGCCGAGAAAGTCTGTCATGACTTGGAACTCGATGGTCACGGCGTTTTTCATCAACGGGCTGTTCGATCAAGGGAGAGAAGTCTTCAGCAAAATGCCGATGCAAGACACGATCTCCTGGAACGCGCTTCTTGCAGCGAATGCCCAGAACGGGAATCTTGAAACCACAAGGATGATCTTCGACGGCCTCTGCGACAAGAACGTTGTGTCTTTCACGTCCATGATCCAGGCGTATGCTCAAGGTGGTCATCACAAAGAGGCGCTAGAGCTCTTCTACGCGATGCTACTCGCGGGAGTGAGGCCAAACGAGATTACGTACGTTGGAGTCTTGAGCGGCTGCAACCACGCTGGGCTGGTCGACGCCGGAAGAGATCACTTCTTGTCAATGCAAGCTGACGAGGGGATTGATCCGGTGGTAGAGCACTACTGCTGCATGGTGGACATTCTTGGCCGGGCTCGGAGACTGGCAGATGCCGAGGAGCTTATCAACAGCATGCCGCTGGAGCCGGACGTTGTTGCTTGGAAGTCTTTGCTCTCGGCTTGCAAGACTCACGGGGACGTCGATCGTGGAGCTCGGGCTGCCAGGTTTCTCTGCGAGCTTGAAGCTGGATAGGAGATCTCGTGTTGAAAGTTATCATCTGAAACTCTTTGGCGCAAGATATACTCGGGCCCGAGAACAAGGTGGTTGTGACAGGAGCCTCGAACACTGTCATTCAAGGATACCACAAGATTCTTCGACAGGCGGGGGCGGGCTATGGTGTCGTGGAACTCGTTGATTCTCGGCTACGCAGAGAGAGGCGAGGAAGAGCTCGCTCTGGGACTCTTCTGGTCCATGGAAGCTCAGGGCTTCTCCCCGGATGATAGACCGTTCTCAAAGCGTGTACCAAGCTTGCCGAGAAGGTCATCGGCCTCGACGGTAACTTGTTCGTTGCTAGCTCCCTTGGTCGACATGTACTCCGAGTGCGGCAGCATGCTCAGAGAGTCTTCGATACTTTTGGCCAGCCCTCATTCTCGGCTACGTTGAAAACGGTGACGAGAGGCTGGCTCTGGAAATCCTCGACTACTTAAGACCAGGAGGCCTACTCCATCGCCAACTCCCTCACCTTCGTGGCTGCTCTCAGCGCCCGCATTGCGTCGAGGGAACCGGATCGAGAACTCGATGGAAGGATTGTGAAGCTAGAATCGCTGTCCAGGGGCAAACGCATCCACGCACAAGCTGTAAGCTGCCGCTGCGACTCGGATACCATGGTGCACATGTACGCCAAGTGCGGTACCCTGGTCGACTGCATGCCTTGTAGAACAGTGGTGTCGTCGAACGTCCTGTTGCTCGGCTACGCAGAGAATAACGAGGTCGAGCTTGGCCTCGACTTGTTCTCTCGGATGATTGCTGGTGACGAAAGAATAGCACCAATCTTTTGTCACAGCTCCCACACCTTTCTAATTTGAAGACTTTTTTTTTATGAAGGATGCAGTGGCGCATTCACTCCCCGATTGGTTCAAGATATTCAGAGCTGGTGGGCGACACTTTTCATACATTGATAGCATTTTATCATGTATGCCAGGAGTCTGTTTAATCCTTTCTATGCTTCTTGACATAGAACTCTATTGTTCTAGCTATATTGTCCATAGCTCATCCTCTCAAACAGCTCCAAAGCCAGAATTATGTTGATCTAGCCACTTGAAAGCAATAAGGCCTGCACTCACATCGCGGTGAAAGAGGAAGGGCAAAAAGTCAACGGCAAGCTCGTCAAAGTGAAGGCAATGGAAGTAGGAATGGCGATCCACTCCCAGGCACTTTACACAGACGTTTTGTAGCCAGCACGTTCGTTCACATGTACGCCAAGCTGCAGGGCCTTCGACAAAATCCCTGCTCAAGCCCGGGACGTGGATCGTTGATCCTCGGCCACTCAGAGGATGACGAGCCCTAGCTGACACTGGAGCTCTTCTTGCAAATGCGGCACTTCCAGATGCTCCCAAACGCCCGGGCTGCTCTCAAGGCGTGCACAAAGTTGGTGGCGTTGGAACAAGGCAGTGAAGTCGAGATCCATACTGGAAAGGTGGCGGTGGTGAAGCTGGAAGCTCTAGAGATTGGCCTCTATGTGAGTGAATCGGAGCTCTTTGTCTTCAACCTCACCATCGATATGTACTCCAACTCACCATCGATATGTACTCCAAATGTGGCTCCATGGACAATGCCTGGCGAGTGTTTGACACCATGGAAGCGAGAGACATGGTTTCCTGGACTGCCCTGATGCCCGGCTCCACAGCCCCAGCTAAGCCTCGAGCTCTTCTCATCTCTCAAGCTGTTATCCAACGAATGGTTCCCAAATGCTCGAGTATACATGACTGCTCAAATCCTGTAGGCTTGGCAGCTATGGCCTACTAAAGAATGACCACTAGCGAGGGTCCAAATCTGGATGAAATTACCATTATCTGTTCTTGCCGCTTGCAGACACTGCGGCCGAAGAGGATTTAAAAAATATGAACCATGTATCCCTTTAAAAGCGAATATTTTGTTAGATGAATCAAGTGAATTTTTTGTTAGGGCATACTAAAAGGTCCAAAAAAAATTCCATGGCTCTTTGGCTTTGAAGTAACGAGAGATGGTGATAATGGCAACAACAATGGTTAGTATTGAAAATTTGTACACTTTTGAGGAAGTGTTAGGTCAACTTCAAAACACTGACAAGACAACAACTCAACTTCACCCACTACAGTCACACTCCAATATACCTAATCAATAGTGGTGAAGGCAAACAACCCAAATTGTCCAATAGTCAAGCACTCCATGAAAAAGTCAACAACTTACACCGAGCTGACGAACAGCTACAATCCTCCAACAACAATGAGGTCAGCAAAGCAATTGTTGATGACAACAATCTTCAACAGCAACCACAATCATGACACAACTATACACTTGAAGAACTCTTCGACAATCTAGAAGAACAACCACAACCAACACAACATAACTTTAACAAGTATGTCAACAACAATTTTGAACAACATCTTCTAGAAATTAACACCAACAAGCAACCTGATGCAAACAATAATGTCGACAACACACCCGAAAAGAGTCCTAAGAAAGAAGAAAAAACAGAGAGTCCACTAAACAACAATAACAATCCACCTATTTCCTCCTACACTGACTTTGCCGTCGACCCCAACAGCTCCAAATCAGCTTCAGACTCCATAGCGACAACTTGACAAAACAACCTCGATAATACCAACATTACTACCAACCGCAAATGGCAGTCACTACTGCCATTGCCAACATACCTGTCAAAAGACATGTCTCCTATCCACTATTTCATGGTCTAAAGTCGGAAGACACCAAGAAACATATTGAACAATTCCGAGAAGCAATCTGCCAAACAACTGAACTCCCATACTACTTCTGGTGTACCCTTCAAAAGAGAGCCAACGAATGGGCTCAAACGCTTCCTCAAAATACAAGTTCTGACAACCTTACACTCAAGCTCATTGATTGATTCAAGTCTTCCCTCACTCAAAGCCAATTACTTCACAAGATCCAAAAACTCAAGTAGAAGTCTGGTCAATCCATTAACGACTACACTCAAACCTTCACTCAACATGCCAGAAAAATGTGGCAACAGTGCCACCAAAACTTTACTTTACCAATGGTACATGCAAGGCCTCTGACAATCCCTCCAAGAAGCGGTGACATACATCAACATCACCACTTACCTTGAACTAGGAAGAGCACTTCAAGATGTTCAAGCTCGATGAATGACAGCACAAGTCAACGACACTAACAACTCAGATTCCAACAGCAGTATAACACCTTTGACAATGAACTTGGAGAGAGCACCAAGTCAAAACTTTGGAAACTCAGGAAAACAGGTTGACAAGCTCAAGGGAAAAGCCAAGGCCAACATCAAAGAATTTCAATCTGGAATTTGGTGTATTAAGTGCAAGAAGGAAGGACATCCAGCAAGTGACTACAAACTCCAAATCTCCAAATGCCAGATCTGTGCCAAAGAAGGTCATGAAGCCAAGACTTGCAGATTTTGAAATTCTTTAGAAGTTCGACAAATCTTGAACTATCCCCAACAGCAGTTTTGACAACCATATCCGAATCAATACTTCGACAAATACCTGGCACCACCTCCGACAAACTGGAGACCGCCGAGAAACAACTTCCAACAACAAAGTCGACAATGGAATGATCAACCTCACTACAACAACTATAACAAAAATTACAACAACAACTACAACGATCAACAATACCCGCCAAACTGGAACTGCTTGGCAAACTGGGACAACTACAACCAAGGATACCAACAATACCCAAGATACCAGAACTAATGATACCAAGGCCAAAGTTATCAAGACCAGGGCTACCAAGGCAACTACAACAACCGGCCATGGCAATCTTGACTTCAAAGCCAAGGAGGTCTGCCAAGACTTGGTCCACCACCTCCTCAACAACAAGATCAGAACCACCAACAACAAGGATGGTTGAGACCGACAAACTACCTTACGCTGACAATGATGACTATGATCCTCAAGTTATGGCAGTACAGACTTGAGCACAAATTTTAGCAAAAAAACAATAACCGGACAGCGATTCCGAAGATAGTGAGGAGAAGGGCCCGGAAAGCCCAACAAAACTCCAGGAATGGAAAAAGAAGCAGAAGTTAGCCACCAAGGTACAACAGCAACTCGCTCTACAACCACCCGAATTAGTGATTTTAGACTCTGACAATGAAGCTCAACCATCACCAGCTCGACAACAATGCCAAGACTCAATACTAGAAAACCGACAGACAAATTGTCCAATATCGACACCGACACTGACACTAGAACACAATCCTACAAACTTCGCAGAAATACAAGAAATAGCAGAGACTATCCTCAACCAAAAATATTCAAATCACCGTTGGCCAACTGCTGCAAATTGCACGCTACCTCACCAAACAGCTCACCAATCTGACATCTGCAATGAACAATGCTCTGACAGACTCGCCCAAACTCAACCCGACACAGACAGCTGTTGACACATTTTGAACCGAGATTCAACCAAGTGACTGCGACAATGATGTTTCGACAATTGACTTACGACTCAACAAACACCTTGTTCGAGGAGCCATAATTGATGGTGGCTCCAGCATCAATATTATTGAAGAAAGCCTTGTTCAACAACTCAACATCAGCCCAGTCCACCCGGCACCTTTCAATGTCCAAATGGCCGACCACCGATCTGTTCAACCCAAAGGCATCATTCGAAAAGTCAACACCAGCATTCAAGGCATCGAAATACCAGTCAACTATGTTGCCCTCAAACTACCAGAGCAGACCAATGGATACTCAATTCTCCTCAGTCGACCTTGGCTCCGAAGTGCCCAAGTTTATCAAGACTGGCCGAACAACAATCTTATCCTTCAAGGACTGAACGGACTGACAACTGTGTAGACAAAAGCAACCAAATTGCTATCCAGCCACAACCAACCTATTGACTTGGAAGAATATAATCTCGAAGACGGCCTCAACAACTATGAAGAACAACAAATCCTCAAACCCTACCCCAATCTCGAACCTTTGGCCAAGATCACCTTGTTCTGAATCGTCACTGACTTCCACCAAGAACAACCATCGATTACATCAGCACTGAAACATCCAGTCACTTGAGATATGAAACTCAAAGCACCACCAGCATTCACAGTCGACAACCAGAACAAAGTTGCCTACATTCCAACAATTCTAGTAGACCAAAACTCGAAAAAGTCAGCCTTGTTGATGATAACGAACACTACATTGTACTTGCCACTGACATCTCGGCAAGTTTTTGAGACAAAGGCATCAAACTTCTCCAAAAGAAGAAACACTTGTTTGCTTGGAGTTATTGAGACCTTAAGGGAGTTTTGCCAAAACCTAGCCTTCACATCATCACCCTTCTTCCGAACTCAAGACCAAGAAGACAAGCAGCCTGCCGGATGAATCTGAATCTGATGGAACAAGTCAAGAAAGAACTTGACAAGCTTCCCAAGTCGAGTACAGCTACCTAAATCAGAATCTGATCTGACTTTCACCACTGGTGGTTGTGCCAAAGAAAAATAGCAAGCTTTGAATCTGTGTCAACTATAAACAGCTCAATGACACCACCAAAAAAGATATCTTCCCAATACCATTTACTGACGAAGTTCTTGATGCAATCGCCAGACACAAGATGTACTCCTTCCTTGATAGTTTCTCTGGCTATAACCAAATCCACATTGCTAAAGAAGATTAGCACAAGACAGCATTCATTAGTCCATAGGGAGCTTATGCTTACCAATGAATGCCTTTCAAACTTTGCAACACCCATTCACCTTCTAAAGGCTCGTCACCAACACTTTCCAAGACTACTTCACCAACCTCATGAGAGTCTTCATGGACGACTTCAACATCTTCAGCTTGGAAGATTGACATCTCAAATGCCTCAAGAAATGCCTCGACAAGTGTGAAGAGAACAACATAGCTCTCAACCCTGACAAATGTGCTTTCTTCGTCAAATCTGGAGTACTTCTTGGCCACATTGTCTGCAAGATGGCATTCTCATCAACAAGGACAAAGTCAATATCATCTCTAAACTCAAATTGCCAAAGAATTAGAAAGAACTTTGATGCTTCCTTGGCAAAGTCGGATATCACTAACACTTCATCCACAAGTACGCTCACATTGCCAAACCACTCACTGATAGACTGAAGCAAGATGCCCAATGGACATGGACATCTGAACAGCAACAAGCATTCAACAATCTCTGACTCAAACTCACAACAGCACTGATCCTTGCCAAGCCCGATTGGACACAAGAGTTTCACATTCATGTTGACACTTCTGACATTGCCACTGGTGCAATTCTCAGCCAAACTCAGCATGACAACCGAGATCAACCAATTTACTATGCCAGCTGACTACTCAACCCAGCTGAACGAAACTACACCACCACTGAGAAAGAAGCTCTTGGCATGGTCTACTCACTTTAGAAGTTTCGACACTACATACTGTCAACCAAAGTCGTCCTTTTCGTCAACCACAAGGCACTCCTTTACCTCATCAACAAGCTAATACTATCTGGTCGAATATCAAGATGGTCAACTTCAAAATCATCCACAAACCTGGCAAAAATAATGAGCAAGCTGACTATCTCAACCGAATCACCACCAACAACAAACCTGAAAGACAAACCGACGACTTACCCAACTCAAACTTGTTCTGAGTTTCAATACCGGCAACTTGGCTTGACGACGTTTTCAGTTACCTGAACTCAGCAAAAGTTCCGGACTGGTACACCATGTCCAAACAAAAGAAGACTTTTGTCACTAAGACCCGCCGATACTCAGTCATCAGTGGCAATCTCTACAAACTCAGCATCGACAACATTCTTCGCCAATGCATCAAGCCACCAAGCACAACTCAAATCATCGAGGAAGCTTGGCTGCCACTCTTGGCACGACACTGAAGAATTCTGCAAATGCTGCAACACATGTCAACGACACTGATTACCGAGTTGTGAATCCCCATTTCCATTCATTGTTTTCATATCAATACACAGCATTCATTCACTCATCTTCCCCTCTCAGCCCCTGGAGATCGGAGTAGATATCCAGCGAAGAGGAATATCCACACCTCTTCAGTGAGGATCTCCATGTAAGCGTGGGCGATGGCGTCCAAGGAGTTGACAAACAGCGACCTGGGAAGCAGCTTGCTGGCCAGGATCCCGTGCACAGCGTTCTTGCACAGCGTGGCATTGAAGAAGGCGTAGAAGTTTGGAAACATGGCAATTCCCTTGAGCCCCGGGTGGCTGAAGTCGACCAATGGCTGCCAGTCCTGCTGCACTGCGCTCTGGTTGCCCCCGTGAAGAACGTAGTTCAAGTGACTGCCATTGGGAAGGGCGACAAAGCCTCCTCTGTATCCCTTGTCTGGCATGAGCCTGGCATACTCGGCGATGAAGTCCCTCAGGCTGGAAGAATTGCTGGCTGAGACCTTGTGGTGGACGTTGGTGACAGCTGCCGGTGCAGGGTGAGTCCTGTAAGTGACGCTGAGAACCACCCCAAACGTTGCGGGGCCGCCACCCGGAGAGCCCAGAAGAGATCCTTGTTCTGGCACTCGTTGGCCACGAAGTAGGTCTCACCACGTTGAGTTGGCTGGGAGGCCATAAGTTGGTGCAAGAACGCTGTGTCCGCCACCTCCAACGTATCATCCCGCAGCACCAACACTGATGATCCAACTTGAGCTTGTGATCCTCCCAAGAGAAAGAGAAATTATGAAGAGAGAGATAACTTACCTCGCACTGAAAGCACCGAAACTGGATGCCAGCACTGACAGTCACGGCTGACACTTGGCCGTCTTCGCTGTCGAATGGACACTAGAATCGTTCGAAGTTGTCCAAGAAGTCGATTGTATTGAGGTTGTGAGTCCAGATGTTGAGAGCACCTCCCCGTCACTGCAACCAAGGTAGTCATGGCCGGTGTTTTTGGTAATCACATGGATGTTATGCTTGGCAGCAAAAGCAAATGCCTCGGAAACGCAATTGGCCTGGCACACGTCCACAGCATAGATTGGAACAGCACCCTGGTAGCAAGTGTCATTAGAATTGATGAGGCACTTCTGCTGCTTGAACAAGTCCCACTGGGGATGCTGAGAAGTGCCAACTTGGTCCGACCTCCACAGCACTTCGTTTTGGCAACTTTGCAGGCTGCTTCGTCATAGTGTGGATCGTGGCACGGATACGCGGCTGGCCTGGAAGAGAAAGGAGAAAGAAGCGTGTGTTTCCAATGAATCAGAATGTTGAAGAGGACTCTTTACCTTGCTTGGATCAGTCGACCACCAATGTCCTTGCTGAAAGAAAAAAGAATACCAAGCTGGAGGAGGTGGGAAGCATCGTTGGTGAGGCAAGCAATAGCAGTGAGAGTGACTGCGACCTGAAGCTGCAAAACAGAATTAAGCTACAGCAATGAGGAACGAAATGCGGAGAAACCGGGAAGCAAATTCCATTTGAGACAGCGCGATAATTTGATAAGCCTCAAGCGATAATTTGAAACCGGTGAAATAACCTGTAATCGTGACACCTGATTTAGCTCTCCAGACATGAACATATGGACGTGTATCTGAATCTGGATGTGGATCGAAATATCTCAAAAACAATTTGATACATCGAGCTAACAATCTTTAATTTCCAAATGATGTTTCACCTGCTCGTGTGGATTTAGAATGTTGCAACATTGCCGCCTTGGAGCCTAAAGAGCATGGCCACAAAGCAAAGTCAGTTCCCAACGTTGGCACACTGGCTTACCCGGCTCGTCTCGAGCTTTGCTAGAGGATCCTCAAGGAGACACTTGCTTGAACTGTTTCCTCTGAGGTATCTGCTGTAAAAACCATCCCTGCTTACGTTAACCATGAAATACCGTATGCTACGTCCACAAGGATCGCCAGAAGGATTCCTGGTCCTAAAGTTGAAGCAAGGACGATAGCGGCACCCCAGCCAGTCGACGAAAGCAAGTCTCTAGGAGAAATGAAGCCCCTGCTCACTTGGACAACATACCCTCACGCGACTTTGAGGCTCCAGCGAAACTCCTGGTTGTAGCAGAACGACTGTTGAAGAACAGCTGATGGATTCGACTGGATTGCAGAGGAGAGATGGTCCAGCGCCTCCTTTCGACTCATCCCGGGAAATATTGGATTGAATCCGTCCATGTGATGCAGACTGACCAGCGGAGAGTGGGGATGTGAAGCCAAGAAACTTATAACATCTCCGTGCAAGTCCATCTAGGAGAAAGGAGAAATGAGTGAACTTAGGAATGAAGCGGATTTCTTACCTGATGGAATCCTTTCTCAATTGTCAATGGCACACCGAGCTCTGCCATGCAAGCTTGCAGCTTCCCATCGACACCCCAGATATGATAGTTCCTTATGATCCAATCGTCCTGGATTTTCTCTAGTGCTTCCACCAGCGCGTAGCTCATTGCAATTCCTGCTCCCCCGAACGCCATGCTGGTTGAGAAGCCCAGCACACTCTGGTGATGACTCTCAGATAAGCCACCTATGTAGTAAAACTCCCGGTGATCATACCTTGAGAGAACCTGGACAAGGTTGTCGAGCACAAAGAAGGTGTCGTCATCGGAGAGAACGAACCAATGCACCCGAGAGAAGTTCAACTGGAACAGCTCTGACGGAAGCCTTGTAATCCTAATGTGATCATGTCCTTCCCCCTGGTTCTACACATTGCTGATAGCTTCGCGTTGTCCGAAACTCAGACGGAGGTTAGGGCCCGTCTGTCCAGTGAAACAATACCTCGCGTCTCGTTTGGTCTCCACCAAAGCTTTATGTATCTTTTCCTGTGTTCCCAAGTACGAGAGCTGGCTCCTATTCCAAACACGATGTTTTCCAAACTTGTCACGCCACCTAAGCTGTCAGTCTCGAAACTCCTTGGAAGAAGTGATTGCAAATGCTGAGTAATAATTGTGTAACAGCTTATAAGAGCTGTAATTCAAACTGCGCAAGAGAACACCTTTGTTACATCCATGGAGCCACAAAAACGACTCACTCGAAGTTACCTTACGAGTAGAGTCACACGTTTTCGACATGATCACACAACTACGTCACCTGCACATCAGAGTGACATTTCGTAAGCGTACGGAAGTGATAATGAAAGTTAGCATGTTATGGAGTAAAAAACGTTTCAACAATCCTTGATCTCTACCTGTTTAGAAGGCTTGAGAATGCTGCAGCATTGTCTTTTTAATTAAAGCATAAGTAAAAGACAAATAAGTAAACAGAAACACCAGAAAATTGCACTTACTCGGTACTGACAGCGTTGTTTTCTTACACGAATTATCTCGAGGCGTGACAAAGGATCTCTATCTTCGCAGCTGCCTGTGCCTGTTCTCTTGAAATAGTTACTGTCTAGACCATCCTGGCTCACGTTGAGCATAAAGAATGAAACGGTGCTCAAGCAGGGATCGCTGCGATCGATGTCTCGTCTTAAAGTTAGGATCGACCGTATCCAAGTGGTGCAATGAAACCAACGGAGTAGTCGGGTGAGAGTCGAGCAACCCGATAGCATCTCCACGAATGTCCATCTGCTAGAGCACGAAAGTTTTGAGAAGGAGCTCGAGCAGCCAGCCATTTACCTGATGAAATCCTCTGTCCAACGTCAGTGGCACGCCAAGTTCTGCCATGCAAGCTTGTAGCTTGCCGTCAACACGTGATCGTTCCTCCTAATGCAGTCGTCCTGCATTTTCTCGAGCGCTTCCACAAGTGAGTAGCTCAGTGCAATCCCAGCACCCCCGAAAGCCATGTTTGTCGAGAACCCTGTAACACTCTGGTAATGGCTCTCCGAAAAAGCACCGATGTAGTATAAAACTGACCCGGACCCGGAGAGAACCCGGGCGAGATTGTCCACGACGAAGAAGGTGTCGTCGTCCGAAAGAACGAACCAATGCACCCCGAAAAACTTGAGCCGGAACAACTCCGAAGGAAGCCTCGAGACTCTAATCTGGTCCTTCATCTGCTGGCCCGTTAAGGTGAAGTTTCTCGAAAGCTCGTTGTTGTCGACGACTTGGAGCGGAGGCAGCGATCCATCTCGCACAGCACTGTCCAGCACTGTCCCCTCTCGTTTGATTCGGCCGCCACCAAAGCCTCACGTAGTTCTTTCTCTGATCCCAAACCTGTGACCTGCTCCGATCCCAAACATTATATTCTGCACTTTGGTCGTCCTGGTGCTGCTGCCGCTCCCAAGATGGCGATCGCAAAAAATGACCACGGTAGAGCTTCTGTGAAGATAAGTTAGTTCCCAAGAAAACAAGGACGCAGATTGTAGCAAGAAGAATTATCGTTGCAAAGAACAAATGCCTGGCAGCCATGATGCTAGAGGCCATGGATCTTGATAGCGAAGTTTTGGGCGATTGATCGCTGGTAGGAGGCTGTTCTAGAGCACGATCCGATAGGGAGGGGATTTAGGCGATGGATCGCGCTCTAGAGCCGCGATTGGTGTTCTTGGGGTTTTGGAGTGATTCGAAGCTGCATTTTGCCGACCGGCACGATATTTCGAGATGGATCGCGATACAGAATCTCCGTTTTTGTTTTGCAGGAAAAAAGCAAGCTCGTTTTGGAAACTCTACAAGTTTCGAATTCTTGCGTAGAATGTTTTTGCTTGTTTGCTTGCGAGTTTTGGCCAGAGTGTTTCCGTCTCATCTCCTAAAGTAGCGTGGCAAAGAGTCTTTTTGAAAGTAGCTGATTTCTCTACTGGCCTCTCTTCCTTGTAGAATGGTTTCTAGCTTCCTGCCCATCCTTGCTGCCAGGCATTTGGTTCTTCCAGCGATGGCTACAAATCTTTGCCTTTCTGGGTAGAATGTTTCGTCTCTCAACTCACAACGTTGCTCCCTAGGCGTCTGGTAAAACCAAACTTACTCAGAATTAAAAAGTAAAGTTAGCCATGAATCCGGAGTTACATCCTTGACCATGCGTACCATGGATAAATCCTTCTCCGAGCGTAAACACTTCCACCGTGTCCTCTCTTCCCGCGCATAGCTACTGCTTGACTTTCCGCCTTCCAGCCCCGTTGACCGGGTCATATAAAGTTGACCGGCCGGTCCACCGGGTTCTCTCTCGTCGTGAAGGCGATTCCCACGCGATCGGACGACGAATCCCCAAGACAGTTTGATCGTCCCGTCCCGATTGGGATCGTAGCAGAAGGATTTCTGGAGCAAGCCCATGGGATCCACCCCGTGCGCGCTCCCGATCAGATACTTCGATCCTCCCCATCCTTGGGAAGAATGGATCCAGGAGCGAGACGAGCGGCGTCGAGGAGAGCAAGCCAGAGGCGTCGTAGGACGTCAAACTGGTGGAATCCACGCTCCACCGTGGCGTAATCCAATTCCGCCACACAGGCGTGGATCCTAGCGTCCGCGCTATACAATCCATGGTATCTCTCAAGGCAATCGTCCAAGACCTTGTCAAGCTCCTTGGCGAGCGCGTAGCTAATCACGAAACCGGTGCCTTTGTACGCCATGTTTGTCGAGAATCCATCCACGTTTTGGAAGTGGCTCTCGGAGATTGATCCAGCTGCCGGTGGTTGTACTTTGCGAGAACTTTGGCCAAGTTTCCGGGGACAAACACCGTGTCATCGTCGCCCATGACGAACCAGCGAACGTCTTCCAGCCCTAGACGAAACATCTCCGAGACAATCCTCGCTATGCGGATGTGGGATTGTCTCGCTATGCGGATGTGGTGCCTTCCATTCGAAACTTGGAGGTGTCACTGGAAACATTGATCTCGGGTAGCGTGTCCTGGTCCGGTAGGAAATTCACTGCTTCGTCCAGCCAAACGAAGCCTCTCATTCGCTCCTCCGACCTCCACCATGCTTGACAAGTTCTTTGCCCGAATCCCACATTGCGGCTTTGGAGCTGATCCAAACACAATGTTCGTGAGATTGGTATCTCCCACGTCTTGTTTGATCGTATGCGATCGTGTTCTTGAGTTGAAATTCACGTAGTGCCTCACGGTCACAGCGTACACAAGAAGAACTCCATACGCTAGAACAAGGAGAACGATCATCCCAGAATATATCACCTATGGAAATACTATGGAAAGGTGGTGACATTTTTATAGTTTAGCCGGTCCGAATCCCAGGAAGTACCCCTCTGTTTTTAGGGTTCTTTGCTTCCGTCAACGAAGAGGCCAAAGGAGAGGCCGACTTTCCAGTAATTGAGCATTTTCACCAGGAATCGCAATTTCTCCGTCACGGGTGGCATCTTATACATGAGAAATCCAATGCCTTCGATCACAGCCACGACGATTGCGCCCACCAGCACGTCCCAGTCCCCTGTTTGCCCCAGCACCGTGGCCAGGGCGTTGCCCGAGTAGAATCCCAGCAGCAGCAAGAACACTTTGAGCGGCAAATTGCGTCTGGTCTCCCGGAATCGCTCCAGCAGATCGATCCTTCTCGCTTCCAGTAGCTGTCCGAGACGAGTGGAGATGGGATTATTGCCGCTCCCGCGTCTTCTCACTGGATCCTCGCTGAATCCGTTGCTGCTACTGGCGCCATCGGTTCGTAGGGTTCTCGTGACGATGCTGGATCGCTGGTGTGGACGAATCGGGGGATTGTAGAGCAGGATTGGGGAAGAGCAGACAAATACCGCCATGCGATCCCAAAAACCCTAGCCAGGGAAGAACCCTAGCGAAGAATGTGCCATGGCGCTGCTAGCCGGCGCCATTCCGGTGGCGATCGCGAGCTCATCCTCGACATCTTTGGCTCCGATTTCTTGCAGCGCGCAAGCCGTCGAGCAAAATGTGAGCTTCCGGAAGAATGCCAGTGCCACTGCTGCCGAGGAGCAAATATTTTCAGGCCAGGGACCAGGTAAGTCGCGGCAGTGGACGAAGAATCGGTGACAGAGATTTGCAAGTGTCTCGAATCGAGGCTGATTCAGGTGGGGAGTCGAGCCGCATTCCAGGGCCTCCACTTTGCGGTGTGCAAGATCTTGCAAAAAACGAAAGATCCAGACGCTGCTCTCGCGTTCTTCCAGTGGCTGACTAGAGAAGCTTGCTACAATCCCAACACAGTGGCATACAATTGCCTTCTCAACACGCTCGTCAAGGCCGGGAGAATCTATCAAGTGAGAGAGATGTTGGATCGAAAAACTCTGGGGGAGTTCGTGCACAGCGAGTTCACGTATGGAACTCTCGTCCACGGCCACTGCCTTGCCGGGGAGTTCGACGAGGCAAAGAGGCTTGTGGAGGAGTTTAAGGATACAGGGATGAGCCCCGGGAGCTTGGTCGTCCTCCACAGCCTCATGCTCAAAGGTTTCTCCGAGGCTGGGCTGGTGGACGAGGCCAAGAGCTATCTCCACCGGATGGATTGCAAGCCCAGCAGCATCTCCTACAACACGCTCATCGATGCGCTGTGTAGCTTCGGGAGGATCTAAGAGGTCCGTGAAGAGCTCCAGGCCATGGCCAAGCGAGGCGTGGCTCCAAACCGGGTGGCTTACAACGCGATGGCCAGGGGCCTCAGCAAAGCTGGCCTGCTCGACGAGGCTTTCGATCTCATGGGAGTGATGGAAAGCGCTGGTTTTGCTCTGACGGCTGTGACTTTCAATCCGGTGGTGGAGTTTCTCTGCAAATCCGGGAGGCCGGACGAGGCATGCAAGGTGATGGAGACAATGCTTCTCAGGAACATCGAGCCCAACATTCTGACGCTCAACTTGATCCTCCAGGCGGCACGGCCCGAGGAAGCGCTCGGCATGACGGACGTAATGGTGGAGATGGGATTCTGCCCGACCATCGTCACCTTCAACGCGCTGCTGGAGCTGTTCTGCAACACCGATCAGATGGACAGCGCCACCGAGCTCCTGGAAACGATGGCGCGCAGCAAGTGCAAGCCAAACTTCGTGACTTACAGCATCATGGTCCAGAAGTTTGCAGAGATGGGGAGAATGGTGGAAGCTCGAGCGTTCCTGGAGCAGCTGGTGGTGTGTGGCTACGCTCCCAATCTCCTGGTGTGCAATGCCTACGTCGCGGGGCTTTGCAAAACCGGAGAGATGGATCTGGCTTCCAGATTTCTCACGGTGATGGCGGAGGAGGGGTGCCGAGCAAACACCGCGACTTACAACAGCCTTGTGGAGGGTTTTTGCAAGCTCGGCAGGATGGACGAGGCGGAGAGGGTCCTCGAGGAGATGATCGCTGAGGGAAGCCTTCCGGACTCGACCACTTACAACGTTTTGATCCAGGGGCTTTGCAGCGCTGGACAGATCGAGCACGCCTTCATGGCGGGCGGTGGAATCAGCTAGGCCGGATCCAGCCACCTTTGGTGAAAAGATCATACCTTTCCGGTTCTAATCCCAGTGCTGTGCAAATGAGTGCTCGAAGAATCGACTTGTGAGTTGATAGAGAAGCTGTGTGAATTGGAAGGGATGGACAGGGCCGCTAGAGAACGGGAGACGAACACGAAGAGTTTCGTGTATGCTCACCGCCCGAGTAACTTGGAGGAGCATCACCATGAACACTCATTCATTGTACTCAAAAAGACCGCATCACAAACGAAAGGACTTAACCTTTATTTAAAGGTTTATTGACTAAGACAAAATGGATTAAGTAATTTATTAATTAAAAACAAATGAAATTTAATTAATTAACACTTCCCATTGCTCATTTGTTGCTGCCATGTGCGCCATTATTAATGCACCACAATCGGCCAGACTTGCATGTTCTTATTTCTTGGCTAGGCCGGGAAGAAGAACAACTTAGAAATTATATTGTTAATAATGTAAATGAGAAGAAATTTTTAAACAAATTTCAAACCATTACTGAAATATTTGCTTGACATTTCTAAATTTGGGGAGGTGGATCTTTGCCAAATCAGCTACAAACTTTCGAGTAGCTATTATTCTCGCTCTC